TATGTTAAAAACATGCATCTTTCTATGTTATGTAGGATGAAGAGAAGGACTGTGGGTATTTTCGTTGGAATGACCCACCACTATTGAATAAGTGGTATAAAGAAAGAATGTATGAATTAGGAGTTGTTGCTAATAGGGGTGTAGCTATTCCTTTCAATAACCCTGTTAATGAAGGTGAAATACCTGTTGATGGCCCTATTGCCCCTGTGAATGTTGATGTCCCTATTGCCCCTGTGAATGCTCTTGAACCTGATAGGGCTGGAATGTGGACATCATGGACTCGAAAGAATCCAGGTTGGAGGTTTTTTGGTTGCCCAAATTACATGGTATAAAATCTTCAAATCTCACTCAGATTCTTCTATTTCACTAAGGTGGTGTTTGTTTTTTGTCTGCAGATCTGCGTGGCCTCTTCTGTTTGCGTCGCGCAGACCACGCGCAGACATTAGCCTTCGCAGACTGTTTGTTTTTTTGAAGACTGCATACCTAAAAATGTTTGTACGCCCTCTTCTTGGCGCTTATATTTTTTCCAACTTTATTAATGATAAACAATTTGAAAAAAAATACAAAACTTAAAAAAAAACGTTCGACGATGCAAACATGATATTTTTGACAAATTTATAAATAAAGATTTATTACAATAATAGTCGTTGAAGTTGTTTATATAAATATGAAAAAAAAATCATAATATATTCTTATATTTTTTTGCCAAGTTTTTTAAAACATTATTTAATACAGTATCGTCAATTTCTCGAGAAAATATTTATGGTACGTTTTTAATGGATTTAATTGAAAAAATCGAACTTTATTTCCATCCATTTATGTATCAAATTCTTTGATCCCTAATTATAATGTTTAGTTATAACTTTGCAACCAATGTTGTTGGTTTTTATCAAATATATACGTTAATTCATACCATTTTTATTTTTATTTTTTATACAATAATAGATAAAAGTTGATCTAGATTTGTTAATTATTTATAACAAAGTCATAAAAATTTTAAAAAATCACTTTGAAGTTTAAAAAATTCAGTTTATTTAGATTTCAGTTTATTTTAGTAGCCCGCAGATGTTAAAAAAACAAACAGTCTTCTTTTTTTCAGACTGCAGACGTTTGGTCCACCTCTTCTACTGCAGAGGTCTACAGATGTGGTCCGCAGACTGCAGACATTTTGCATCAGAAAAAACAAACAGCACCTAAATTACCATTCTTCTATGTTAAAAACATGCATCTTTCTATGTTATGTAGGATGAAGAGAAGGACTGTGGGTATTTTCGTTGGATTGACCCACGACTATTGAATAAGTGGTATAAAGAAAGAATGAATGAATTAGGAGCTGTTGCTAATGGGGGTGTAGCTATTCCTTTCAATAACCCTGTTAATGAAGGTGAAATACATGTTGATGGCCCTATTGCCCCTGTGATTGTTGATGTCCCTATTGCCCCTGTGAATGCTCTTGAACCTGATAATCAAATTGCAATGCGTGAGAATACACATGTGCCTGGTAATGAATTTGGATTCTGCAAGTGGATGATGGTTTGTTTCGTTTGTTTCATTGTAGGGATGATGTATGGTTAGTTTAGTATAAATTGTAGGGTATTATGGTATGGTAGGGATGATGTAATCTTTTGGTTTGTTATCATGATGTAATGGATAAAT